GTGTTACATGGGAGCGACGAGTCCCTCCCAACACCGCCCTTAATGAGTGAGTCCAAGAGGACCCCAGATTATGCACTGGATCCATCTGAGGTAGTGCAACCCCATCCAAGACCAAGGATAGTAAATCCCCACATACAGAGGACCCTCATCTTGCCCTTCAGAGCTAGTGGATACATAGTCAGTCTCTGGATGGCCTGGAACTGGTAGTGGTGGTGATTGCACTATGTTTACATCAAGTTTTCTCCTTGCCAGGGTCGGCTCTTACAATTGTGATTAATTATATATAGGCAAACATAAACTAATTCTCAGCAGCATTCTGTTTAATCAAGAAGATCATACTTAATGCTGGTATACTTGAAACCACATATAGATGCCGTGAAGTAACTGGTATGAGCTGAAACTTACATAGTCAATATAAAAGTGATGAGGGACGCTGTTCCTTGTGGAGCTCTTTGGACTAGTTACTAAGTCACTCAGGGAAGAGCTGCTGCAATAACCAATTTGCAATATCTGTGTAAGTTATACACAAGGACATCTCTTGTGATTTGAGGCATTGCTTACCCCAGCTGATGAATCATTGTGGTTTACAATAATTTCTCCCAAATGTGCATAGGAAGTTAGAAATCCTGCAGCTGTAGTGCTTTGGCTATGCTGCAGTAGATTTTATTATTCTAATTTAGTAATACAAATGAAAGCAGCAGCATGGGGAATGATACAATGCTGGCATGTGATGAGGCAGCCTTTTAATGAGAAAAAGGGAATGTCTGTTGTCTCTGTATTAGAGGAAAAAAAGAGTTAAACCAAGAAAATAAGGTACAAATCCCGATGTAATTTAAGAAGCTTGTCTGAAATGAGCAAGACCAAATAACTTCAAACTTAAAGATGCCACTCTGTGTATTTACAGGGGCTACTATAACAGAATAACAGAGTTAGAAGGGACCTTGGAGGTCTTCTAGTCCAACCCCCTGCTCAGGTAGGAAATCCTATATCATTTCAGACAAATATTCAGACACTACATTCTGCAACAATAGTGGGATATTTATTGGACACTAAAGACTATAAACACTTCTGTTTCTTACTACTTGAGTCATCAGAGACAAATAAAAATGCATGGGGATCAACCATTCAGAATCAACACAGACAGAATTGAAATCAATAGGTATTTTCCCCCAAAGCAGAGGGAATCATGTTTTGCAATAATTTTGGTTCCTAGGAAGCCCACAAACTACACCTAAGAGTAACAGTTACTCCTGCTAATGTTCCTCAGCATCCCTTTATCAAAAATTATGCATTTTCTAGTCCCACTTCATGACTACATAAGATATGAAACACAAATTATGGTTGCAATTTCCATAGATATGAAGAGGTAACATTTTCATCTCTGAAAAATTTCTTTAGTGAAAAATTTCATTAAATAAACCCGGTTCTTTTCATATACTTTGTTTACATTATGCCTAGGCCTAGGAACTTAAAACAGTTTGGTTCAAACTGAAGACATTTTCCGTTATGTGAAGAGGAGAGATGAATGATAGAAACCATCTATTTCCTAAGATGTAAGGTAGAGAAGATTATCCCTTAAAGTTTCTATAGCCAAATATTATTGGGAGACAGGGAAATGTTAGAATTAATCAATGGAATGGCTTACCTCCAGATTTTTTAGGTTTTTAAGAAGAGATTAGACAACCAGTCGGAATGGTATAGGGCAAGGGGTCTTCAAACTTGGCCCTTTTATGACTTGTGGACTTCAACTCCCAGAATTCCTCAGCCACTGAGGAATTCTGGGAGTTGAAGTCCACAAGTCATAAAAGGGCCAAGTCTGAAGACCTCTGGTATAGGGTCTACTGCTTGAGTAGAAGACCTCCGAAGTCCTTTCCAACTCTTTTATTCTGTTATTCTTCAGGGTCTGCAAGGGCAGACAAGCATGGCTGCCATGGGATTTTCAGGATTTCCCCCTCCTCAGCTATCATCTGGTAACCATTCAATTGAAGGGGGCTTCCCACTGTCCCAGCAATGTGTCACTAAATCAGCTGCAGAAGTTTAAACACTGGCACTTAGGTTTTCTGATTTTCTTTTCCCTTTCCCCTCACCTTTTTCCTCTTGAGTTGCATCCCAATGCCTTCCCCAAATTGCAAAGCTCAGCAAAGCACCATTTGCTTTAGAAAACTGTTCAATTTCCCAGACAGAAGTATTTTCTAGCACCATTGGCACATTTCTTTTAGTGCAGAAAAGAGTTAAAATGGAACTTGGGGTCTTCTGCATTCAGACAAAGTGCTGTGCCACTGAGCTATACTTATTTTTCAGAAGACCTGTTCTCAGAAAAATCCAAGATATTTCAGGAAATTGTAAATGAAAAGCTCAAATCTTTATCCCACCTGCCAAGCATTCTATGAATTACCAAACTCTCACAGTAGGAGGTTCTTGCTGCAGTTCATTTAATTTTAGTCTCTTCAGATTTGTGAGTGTTGTTATAGTGATTGTTTTATAAACCTAAACTATAGTTCTCAACTCCTGGGATGGGCTATTCCTGATAATGTGCATAATGCATATTGATGAAATCAATGGACTCATAAGAAGCGATAACTTGGCATTAAATTGAGTCAGCCAATTTTAGCCAGTGAGGCTTTTCAACTATTTGGGATACCTCATAGATACCTCATCAGAAACAAAAATGAGATATTGGCGCATAGGCATTAATGGTGAATTTCGACTAGAATATACGACATACAGTTCCATCAAGAATAACAAATGACTGAATGATCTGTACATAGTTTCAGCACATAATATTTACCATATTTAATATATGACTCAGCTCAGAAGATAGTAAGCTCACAGATTATTGTAGAGCAATGTGCCTCATCTCTGTATTTTGTTTTTATTAAATTCAAAATAGAACGAAATACAGGAAAAATATATAGCAATTCCAGCTGATTGATAAGAATCTTATCCTGCCTTATCTAATGCTGCAAGTGGGACACTGGCTAACATTCTTCACTATTTTAGATCAGCTTTAATGCTGCAAACTTAAACAATAAAACAGAATGCATTTTACTTTCTCTTTCCTTTTGGCTCTTTTTCTCTTCCTTGATTTTTAAAGAGGAAAAATGAGAATCATTTCAAAAATGCAAATTGAGGACAAATTGCAATGGCTAAATTTGCAGGTTACACAGCCTAAACAGGGAAATGAAGTTTCCTTAATTATAAAGATGATTTTTTTTTTTACCTGTAAGTAGCATATGGTACTGGAATATGCGCTGCACCACTTTCAAGAGCTGGTGTTTCACATTCAAGGGACTGCCATCACGAACCTGCTGTCCTCAAAAGAAGGGAAGAAAAAGTGTAAAGGTTAGAGTTCCAACAATCAGAAAATAATATGAAACTGGTCTTGTTTTACATGAAGATAGTAATCACCTTTGCAAAGTTTCATACACATTTGTAATGGCATATCCAAGTATTCCCTAACAATTAGGCAGTGACATATTTTACAATAGAAGTGTGTTAATAATCCTGAAATTAAATGTCAAAAGTCTTATTTATGTTTTGGTTGAAGCCAGAGATTATGTTCCAAGAGAAATTCTGAACCTTGTCTAAACTACATAGTGTTTTTATATTACTGCTTATTCACTGATGCTAGCTGGACCGATCCTGACCTAAGCAGGGTTGGCATTGACATCTTAGGCCTAATATAAATTAATAGAAAGAAATTTCCACTAGAACTAGACATTATTGTTATATGCAGTCTACTAGGCAAGAGTTCCTCAACTTAAACACATGAGCTTTGAGTGCACTGTGGAAGTTTTGATGCATGCTCAGTCTCAGAGAGCTACTGAAGAAATGGATGTGACTTCATTGCTATTTGGGAAGGCATGACCCATTGATCTCAATTCTACTGTCGTCTATTTTGACCAGATCACAAATAGTATTTTGAAAACCTAGACGTTTCTACTCTTTTATAAATGTAGCAAGGATCATAGAGGTAAAGGCTGAACAGGAAGCAGACTGCTCTTTTCCTTTGAATATATCATTTTTGGCAGCAATTTAGGACCCATTAGCAAAAGAAAACCATTTCATCTTCCAAAACAGAAGCTCTGAATTTAAATAGCAACATGGAAAAATACACACAGACGTAGCTGAAAAAACAACGAGGGTCACCGTCATTTGATTCACACAATTCAGAACAGTTTATCATAAAACAGAGTCAGGGGTGAGAGGTGTGGCATAAGTTATCCCTATCAGGGACACTGTAGTGACGTCAAGCACCAGTTTTGGATTGTTGTGTTTCTAGCTAGTTTCTCTGGTCTCTTCAAGACAATCAGACTTTCCCTGATTTTCTTACCCTTCTCAATTCAGCTCAAAATTCACCCTTGGAAATATTGACTATTTGCATTCAGGCATCAGGAAATGAAGACCATTTTAAAACAATACCACATTAAGACATTTGCAAGTCTAGAGAATTGTCAGCAGGTCAGTGCTTGCCCTTTCTGGCGAGTCAGTGGTTTGTTGGCTCAGTCACCAAATGCCCTTGTGTATGTCCTCTGTTTTCACCATGCCTGTACCTAGAAGGAACTCCAGTTCCATTTAGCAAAAATGAATTACTAGTATCTCTGTCTTTTGCCCTCCTTGTATTTTTCTGTATTTATAATACTGGGGCAGAAAGTGTGGGAAGCTGCTGTGGGAGAGAAATTAGATGTTTAATGAATAGGAAAAAAATGTATTAAAAGTCCTTACACCTGATGATGTTACCTAGTTGGGTAATGAAAAGTCTGCAAGAAAACAACCAAGCTCCAAGAACCCCACAAAGTAAGCTCAGCCAACTGTTTCCTCTTCTTTCCCCTTCTTCTCTTGATTCCTCCTATGTCTAAATTTACACTATAACTTCTCCAAGGGGTAGGAAGTCTTGTCATCAATACAGTGATGGTAAGCCAAAGGGATGGGTCGCTACAGGTATAACTAACCCGGTTTCTAGGATGAAAACTGCTGTCAGTACCGTCTTAAACAACTATATTCTTGATTTTTAACTATATCACAAGGGGAACAAATGTATTTTTTTATCATAATGCACAGGAAAGCAATTCATAAAGTTTGATCAGAAAATACATTGCTCCCTCACAATGACTCATTTTCAATTTTGATCAGAATCAATTTTAGAACTGATTTTCTCCCTTCTCTCTTCCTCAATTGCCATAATCCTTTTAATTTACTCATATTGGGATACCATTCTGCCTGAGAAAATCATGAGAAATCCAGTGGTGGGATTCAAATGTGTGAACAACCGATTCTCTGTGTGGATGCCGCTTCCGGAAGTCCATTCTGGGCCTGGGCAACAAAAAATTAGCTACCGGTTCTGCCAAAGTGGTGCGAACCGGCTGAATCCCACCAACGGAGAAATCTCTTTTTCTCGATCTTTATGCTTCTCTCACACATATATTACGTGAACCTTCTGAGCTCAAATTTATGGCTAAAATAAAAATTCCATTAACTCCAAGCGAAGGGCAGCATAAAAGGCTAAGACAAAAACATTAGTGTCGCAACCCTTGTCTCTTATTTAATAGGGACCACAGTGTTCCCATGAAATATATATTTATCCTGCTTCCTGGGTCCTTGCAGGGGAGATGACGAAGAGCACATAATAAAAACCACTGATATTTACACATAAAAGCATCTTCAGAAGCGTTGCACAAATATCAGCAAAGTCAGTCAAGGCTGTGCATTCCTCCTAAAGAAGCTTAAGCTTAAAAAAGACGAAAACTCTTTTGGAGAATGGATCAGGTACTAACTTCTGAGATACTTTTCAGGTATGCAAATAGTTAGAACTGAATAAGCAAGTGCTGGAAATATAGTCAAAATCCAGGTTCATTTTATCATACGTGGTGGTCTTTCAAATATATGAAAACATACTGGATAAGCAGAACAATCACAATGCGAAAAATATTTAAGATATAAATATTAATGAAACCTGAAGCTGTTCTTTTAGGTATGAAGGACAAGCCAATTGAAAAACAGTTTGGAGTGCTATTCTTTCACATGCGAGGACTGTACTTGCCCAAAACTGGAAAGAAAAAGAGATGCCAACTGTTGAAGAATGGATTTTGAAATTGATTGAATTGGCAGATGGCAAAATTAACTACTTTGATTAGAGATAATGGACTAGACAGCTTTATAAGAGACTGGAAATTGTTTGTGGACTTTCTACATGCTAAATATAATAACAGATGGTTAACAGATGCATTTGAAGATTAGTGTAATGTTTAGTTCAACCTGTTGACCGCTTTTTCTTCATATATTTAGCTCAACAGGTTGAGCTAAACATTACACCAGTCTTCAAATCCCTCTTTTTTTTGGACACTACTTTTTTTCTTTTTTGTTGTTAGGGTTGAATGTATGCTTTTGTTTCATTGTGTTTGTTTGTTTTACTGTTTTGTATTTTATTTTCTATGATAAAACAATAATTTTTTTAAAAAAAGCATTCGATAAGCAAGAACTTAATGAGTGCTTTTCAAAACTATGGCAACCTAGGGATGTGGTACAATCCCAGAGTTGTGCAAATTGTGTGTGCAGAACAAGATTGAACATGGGGGAAATGCTCTGGATACATAAATTAAATAGTGATGGCGGCAGAGATTTGAGAACATCTCACCACAGTGCTTTGGAGTGCTGGGACAGCTGGAGAGGGGAGAGGGATGATGGCAAAGTATTGTGACACCTTAGCTATAAGAAAATATAAAAATTAAATTGGTAGCTAGGACAAAGCAGGAGTTTCTACCAACTGGAATGCACCCGTTCTACAGTTTCAAAGGGATTTTGAGGAAATGCTGCTGAAACAGTATGTCTGGAGCAGCAAGAAACTCTCATGAACTGCAAAGACCTATGGCATTGTGGAGCCACAGGGACACAACATTGCTCTGCCTAGTGCTATGATGAGCATTGGAAGTGCATTAGGAGGTATGTTTAAGGAATTCAAGAGAGCCGCTTCACATAAATAATACAGAATTCATAAACCTAGATCCAGTGCCTGCTAAATCCATCAGTCATACATCCTGATTGAGAGTAGGGTCCCAGTTCTGATGTATGTGCAGAAAATATTTTCTTGTCAAGGGGCATTAAGGAACAGTTACAATTTTCTCTGACATTAAGGAAGCAAAGTAAAGATAAAGGTTTCTCTGTCCAATTGTGTCCGATTCTAGGGTGTGGCGCTCATCTCTGTTTCTTGGCCGAGGGAGCCAGTATTTTCCGAAGACATTTTCTGTGGTCGTGTGGCCAGCACGACCATACACCAAAGGTGCATGGAATACGTCCCACTGAGGTGGTACCTATTAATCTACTCTCTCGGCTCTTGAGCCCGGCCTGTCAGCTTTCTAGCTGACAAGCTCAGCATCTTTAACTCCTGAGCCATCACACCCCTAATTAGGGAATTAATTAAGGAAGCAGTTTACATATAGATGCTAAAACATCACAGACACATATGTTTTAATGAGCATTTGCTTATGACTTTTCTTTTTCTTGGGCCAGGAAAAAAAATTGATAAAAATTTTGCCTCCTCTCTATGGCAGCAAGAAGACGCAGTCCACAAGGCAATATAGTTCTAGATAATTAAAAAAAAAAACAATTGCAAATTAGATATTCCATAGAATTTTCATAAATATATTCAACAAGTGTTGATAAATGGTCATTTTAATGAATTATTATTACCGGTATTTCTTATATGCTGTAGAGGGAGACATATTCCATATTTCAAGCAGCTGATAGCCAACGCAACACTGAAAATACAGTAGCCAATTTATTCTCATAACCTTTTTTGTCTCTTAAGTAAATGTTGCCACTTCTCTCTTCTTTACAAATAAAAAAGTGATATATATTCAAACTAAAATTAAACATACATTTGCACTGTTAAAAGTCACACCAGCCATCCAGCAAGAAGCAGAAAGGGCAATTGAAGTATGCACCATTTCCCCCCCCTAAAATAGGATTGGAGTTAATTCACAAGTGAAACTATTCAACAAGTAAGGTGAAGCTTAAGCAGGTAGGTGGTCATTTATGTGTGTATTTCGAATTTATTTGAGGATGGTCCTGATAGGTCCTAAACCTTGCCTATAGTTTTCTGCTTCAGAAAATACAAGGAAAAAGAGAAGGCAAGAATTATGAGCTAAATTGCACGAAAAAATTGTAAAATGTCGATCTGATGCAGAAGGTAAGGGATACATGAATATGCCAGCAAAACATTTTGAACTGGACCTAGACATGAGAGATACGTGTTCAGATCAGTCCTCTAATGTAAACTGAGCACCCACAATTTAACATTCTGTTACTCATGGAAATAAATAAGATGTAAATCTTTTTGCATGGTTTTATACATTAATATTTTTGCATTAATACTTTTCCAGTGGAACAAAAAGAGAAGCAGAAACATATGAC